TTACACTAACGTGTTAAAACAAATTTAAATTCATTTCACTAAAACCTCATAAACTTTAAGTGTGATTTAAAAACAAAAAAACATAAATATATTTTATATACTGTTAGAATAAATAATAATGTTATAATAAAAGTACACGAGACAGATGGTACATAACCCTAACCTTCAGGAACAGATAAAATGCATTATATTACTTCAGAAATGCTGATGTCACATTCTCTGAATTACTGTGGTTTACCATTAGATTCTTACTTTGAGTAAATACATGTTCAGTATGCCAGGGAATGTGATATGTATTAGGATATCCATAATGTTGTTATTAGATATAATATATTTCAGGATTGTACCCACTTAGTAATATCCACCAAGTCAGAATTGGTGTGAATATACTGTAAGTTTACTTTCCTAGTTACAAATTCTGTCATGGATTTCAGTTTATGTGAAAATAATAAACAGTGCCAAACAATCATCTCACAGGTCCAATCCTTTATTTTTGATGGCTATGTGACAACAGGAAATAAACAGTCTCCAAAGCATTTTGGAGGCCAAGAAATGCCCCTTCATCAGGATTTGGGTAAAATAGTAAGGTTTCTTAAGTGGGCTCCATAGAACCTCAAGAACAATCCCTATTAGAAAGAAATCCACAGGTCTCAAACAAATTGCAATGAGATTCCTGGTAACGGAATTATTGGTACTATTACTATTAACAATAGAGGACTATGGACTCTTGAGATGATTCTTTGGTGCAATCAAGATTTACCACCACAGTTTATTTGAGAAAAGTAAGATTGTGGGCAGCAAAGTGGATAAATGGTTAGCACTTTCACCTGGCAGCACTAGGGTCGTTGGTTTGAATCCCACCCATGGCACCACCTGCCTGGAGTTTGTATGTTCTCCCTGTGCCTGTGTGGGTTTCCTCCGGATACTCCGGTTTCCTCCCTCACTCCAAAAACATGCTGGTAGGTGAATTGGATCCTGTCTAAATTGGCCCTAGTGTCAGGAATGGACTCGCCAATGGTGGTGGGACTCACCTGCCTTGTGGGCTGCAGTACCAGGGCTGGCCAGCGGGTGCTCTCAGCAACCAGAAGCTCACTCCTGCAATCAGCCATCACCTGAGGCTGATTGCAGGTGGTGTATTTAAGGAATGGCCAGACCTGCAGTCAGTGCCTTGGTGTATGTTTCCCATGAGCCCCTGTACCTGCATCCTGTCTGCTTCCTGCCTGATTTTGCTTTGATCCTGACTCTGAATGAACTCCGCCTGTCCTGACCTCGGCTATTCCTGACCACTCTCCAGCATGCTCCTTTGGTATCTTGTCTGCCTGATTGTGCCTGATTGGAGGGGGTAGATGGACATGGGAGATTGGCTGAAGGCAAGACTAAAGAGGCATGTATAGGTAAGTAATTCTACTTGTTTCAATATACATTTTTAAGAATTGTTTGGTATTTTTGGGGGGCTACTACGGTTTGCTTTATTGATGCATTTCAGAAACATTTCTCTGACCAGTTTTTCTTTTCATCAAGTACCCCCAGTTAGCTATGTGTTCTTAAGGTCTAATTTAATTTGATTTGTGCCAATGGAACTGTATTTATTGCCAGATTTTTTTTTAACTCATAGAAATCCTGAAATCATTCCATGTGGAGGAATGAGGTTAACAAAAATGGGCAGGATGTAAATGACCTGGTCATTTTGGAACATCAGCTCCAGAGGCAAATCTCTACATGATACGGGAAACTTGGCATATAGGTAACAAAAATGTTACAGACCACAGTGGCCCTTTACCACGTGTTCAGCTGTGTCCAATCACAGCTGATCTCATGTAAACAGACTTTCCGGCTATCAGCAGTCCTATACTCACACGTTGTGTCTGCATGAGGAAAGGAGAACTGATAACTGGAAAAGCTGTCAGTACATTGTTTTCACTGATAATAAGGACACTGATCATTAGTGCCCTGATTATTAGTGCAGACTCTTCAGTACCAATCAGTGCCCATCAGAGAAATATAATGCAGTTCATCAGTGCCCATCAGTGCAGCTTATCAATGCCCATGAGTGCCACCTATCAGTGCCCATCAGTAGCCACTCATCAGCGCAGCTTAATCAGTGCCGCCTCATCGGTGCCTATCAGTACAGCTTATCAGTGCACATCAGTGCCACCTCACCAGTGCCCATCATTGCACAGGCAGACATTGATGTATCACACAAAAAAGGGCAGCTTTGATTATTTCGACAAAAAATGTGTAAATAATGATGTACAAGCGAGCGCTAATAAATATATGTAATTAAATAGAGCAGTTAGTAAAAGGAAAAAACCATAAAAAAAACCATAAAAATTGCAGCGCTAAAATAATATTCTCAAATATCAACAATTAGCGACAAAGTGCAACAGCGCCACCACGGAGCGCAACAAAGTGCGACCAGCGCGCCATCCCACATGGAGGAAAAGACAGCGACACAAATGCACAATGCAAACGTACAAAGGCCACACAAACTCCTCCCCCTAAACATGTGCCCACTTCATCCAATGTACGCAGATGACCCGCAGCTCCCCCACACACACTCAACAAAAACACGGCGTTCGTGACTCCCCGCGGCAAAGGCAAAGGAGGCGCGCCTGCACCCACCGGACGCACAGCCAGCCCGCGCATGCAAAGACACCCCCGCGGGGTATCTGGAAACCAACGGGGACACGGCACCTCCCAGGCACCCACCACACCCCCGGCCGGACCCCAGACCCTTCCATAGGACCCCCACATCGAAAGGGACAAACCCCCGTCACGGACCCCACAGCAACCCAGCGACGCCAAATCTCCACCCTCAAGCAGCTCCAAAAACAAGCCACCAAAAAAAGACCAATACAGTGCAGTACTTTACTGCACAGCCAATGGGTACCAGCACATGGCCAAACACCTTCAGAACCATACGACAACAACATCGTCAGCAAAAAGGCTACAGCTCAAAATAAATCAAATAGCCGGCCCACTGAGAAACAGACGAAAGCCAGCATGTGCATGCATACAACAACAACCAGCCACTCATGATCAAAAGGGATCAACAACGCGCTAGTGCACAAAACGCGTCAAGGGACATGCTCGCCACACTGATGTCACACGCTGCCAGGTCCATGTGCTTGGCTGGCAGCCATTTTTTGAACTTCATCCGGATTTTGTGAATTGTTTTAAGATGATCCCCCAGCATGAACAACTGGTCACCATTATACGCATGCACACGGTGGCCCCCATCCGCCCCTGAACAAGCCGGCCACTCGACTCACCCTGAGCCACAACCCCCCCACTGGTGACACCACTGTCATATGACTGTGACAGTGCTCAACCATGCGCCAACAACCACCAGCCATAAAACAAACCACTACACTATATTAGCCCTCCTCTGGCGGCCCACCCCTGGAGCTGCCCAAAGGTGGAGACCCAACACCCCCAAGCCGCTGCGAAACCCACACCTAGGGCCCGCCCCCCCCCCACCGCGAGGGGCCCACGGAAAGGCCCGAAGTCCGGCCAAGGGTGCAGCAAGCACCCGAGAAGCACCACACCCCCACCGACCTCCAGATGCCCCACAGGAACACCCCCACATGCACAAACTGGCTGCGCGCCCGATGGATAAACTTTATTTTTAATCAGTCTTTTTTTGATTGTTTAGCAAAAAAACTAGTGGCAATTATATACCCCCAAAAGAAATCTCTATATGTCTAAACAAATGATAAACATTTCATATGGGTACAGTGTTGCATGACCATGCAATTGTCACTCAAAGTATGACAGCTCTGAAAGCTGAAAATTGGCAAGGACAAGAAGGGGGTGAAGGCAGTTAAGCAGAATATGTTTGGAAGCTTACCTCACCACAGGCTATCACCGCTTCAGTCTATCCTGAATACTGCGGCCAGGCTCATCCACCTTACTAACTGCTCCGTATCCACCATCCCCCTCTGCCAATCCCTCCACTGGCTTCCGATTGCCCAACAGATAAAATTCAAAATGCTAACATTGACGTACAAAGCTGTTCATAACACTGCCCCAAACTACATCACTGACCTGATATCCAAATACCACCCTAAACGTACTCTCCGCTCCTCACAAGACCTCCTACTCTCTAGTTCCCTGGTCTCCTCCTCCCATGCCCGTCTCCAAGACTTCTCCAGGGCTTCCCCCATCCTCTGGAACACCCTACCCCAATCCATAAGTCTTTCACCTACCCTCCTCTCCTTTAGACGCACCCTGAAGACCCATCTCTTCAGGGAAGCCTACCCCGCCCTCAGCTAATTGCCGATCTCCTACCACTCCATCCCCCACAGCTATTCCCTCCTGTACCACTATCCCCTACCTCCTAGATTGTAAGCTCCAAGGAGCAGGGCCCTTGAACCCCTCGTGTATCGAATTGTATTGTTACTGTACTGTCTCGTGTACTGTCTCCCATTGTAATGTACAGCACTGAGCAAACCATTGGCGCTATATAAAAACTGTGTAATAATATTAATACATAAAACATAACATTTTTAGGTGCTGGAGACATAATCTGCATGACTTTTTTTGATTTTGTAAGTTTGGTAGCCTCAGAACATAAAACAAATTTTTATATCACAAGAGGAAAGCTCAGAAAAGAACAAGAAACAATGCATTAAAATTTTAAAAGATCACAGCATAATGAAGCAAGTATCTCCTTTTGATAAATACAACTAAAAGTAAGATGGAAGTTAGAAACTAGGCAGTTTTTTTTTTTTTTCACATACTGTACTTTTTTTTTCACTATCCCTAGCTGTCACAAAAAAAGAAGGAAATTCTATGTAAATACCATTTTTATACATGGAAATCATTTATTGAATATCTCACCTACTGTATTTTTAAAGCAGGATCTAATCTAGAACCAATCCATGGCAGTACTACTGCTCAGTATTTTTTTTTTAAGTCATATTGATACCTAATAAGACTTGTGATAAGATTGATTTTGACCGTCTGGTGAAGTGGAATATGGAGACATAGTGGGCAATCCATTGGGGTCTGTACAGGGGTGGACTGACCATTTGGAAACTGGAGCACTGCCAGAGGGCCCAGAGTCAGTAGGGGGCCCCATGAGATGCCCCTGGTACCTTTTTCGTAGGTTTTTTTGAGTTTGGGCAAGGACACAGGGGCCCCATGATCCCCTATTACCCGGGGGCCCCATGAGTTGTCAGTCCGCCCCTGGGTCTGTATTTTTAAAAAGATTAAGAACCCCTCTTCCAGTACAAGGAGTGAGAAGCTGATTAAACAATGCATGTGTGGTCCACTGTGAGCAAAAACACAATTTATCCTGTAACAGTGAAACAAGCACTCTTAATTTTGTAACTCTTATGGGAGACCTCTTTAAATAACTTTGCGTGTCATGTTTCCTGGATACTGTTTTAGTATTTTGATCCATCACATGAAACTGCAGAAAGAAAACAAGGATGTTTCTGAATCCCTTGATCATCTTAAAAAAAAAAAAGTGGTGAAAAAGCAGGAATCAAAATTAGTCATGCTATATACCTACTAAATAGGTTTTTTATAAACTCAGTTGGACCAGTAATGTTGTTTCAGAAAATGCAAATAGGGTTTCTATCTGGGTAAACAAAATTTAGCATTTTTCATAAAATATTAGCTTACACAAAAAGTAACTATATTATTTTCTTTTAATGCCTAATGATATTTTATAGCATTGTGAGAAATATAGACTCAGCTTAATCCCATTACAGCTGAGCATTAATTTAATCAGTTAAACATATGATATGATGAAAGAGTACGTTGGTTTTAGTATTGGCATTGAATTCTTCCTCCTTTATATGGCAGTAGGCCTGGGCATACAGTTTCCTAACTCGTCAGTGGCATTTTAAGAAGATAATTGCATTTTCAATAGAATGTATGAAGAGATAAATGGTGCGTAAATCAATAGAGACTCCTCGTTTATTGGTTTATGTGTCATTTATCTCCAAGTTTGCTCCTCAGATAATCCAGATATTTCTCTTATGCTCAATTTAAAATGAAAAAGTCCCGATGGAAGAAGGGGTGTTATTCAAATTTATAGCATCTTCTAAGTTCAGGAAAAGTTTAAATCTGTTAAAATGACTAGATCAAGAGGGAAGAGCATAAAAAAAAGTGTCTGATCTAAGGGCTGTTTTCACAAGAATATGCATAATTTCCCCAAAACTTTACTTGGCATCTTTATATTATGGGAAGGACACACACTAATAAATGTTGAGTAAGAAAGTTATTTTTTCTGTTAAGTTTAATAATTCTTCTTCCAAAACACAAATTTATCTTTGTATACCTATATTTTACAGTGTTGTTGATTTAGTTTTTTATACATATATACATGTAGATATGCACCTGGAGACCTAAATACAATGTTGTCACTTATGAAATAACCCCACTATAATAATGATTTTTTTAAAGGAAACTTGACATGGAGTTTAATAAACAAAAAGTCTATTTTATTTTTAATATTCCACACCCCCGGTCTCCATAAGGTTCTTTCACTCTTAAAAAAAAAAAATCCAAAGACCTTTAAGCCAGTCTGCAGGTGTCAGAGGTTCTTTCCTTGTCTCAGGGGCAGGTCCATTAAAAACTGGGTTAAATTATGTTGGTTGTCATTCAACCTGGTAGATTAAAAGTGTTATTTTAAAAAATATAAATATGGCTATACAACCAAACATGTTATGCTTACCTGCTCTGTGCAATGGTTTTGCACAGAGAAGAGCCATACTCTTCTTCTGGGGTCCTCAGCCAGCAAATTTGGCTTATCTTCCTCGCCGAGTGCCCACAATAGCAAGCCATTTGGTATGGGAATACTCGTGTAGGCTCAATACCAAGACGGCTCTGTGCATATATAGCAAGGTTCAGCCCCTGCACTTCTCTTGCTCCTCTTTGGCTGTGATTGACAGCAGTGGAAGACAATGGGGGGGGGGGGGGTTGTTGGCTCCAGAATGAAGGTAAGTAATGCATCAAATGTTTTTTTATTTTTAATAATACTAACCACTTGTATTTTAACTAAAAGCAGGTCACGTCAAAGTAAATTGTCAATGTTATTTTTAGTGCTTCCTTCATTTTTGCACAAATTATTCTACCTCTAGGATCTTTCAAACAAATATCAAACCGTTCCCTCAACTTTTGAAAAGTCTGGCATGCCCTTTTGGATAGTGAGAGGTCATGCCAAGGCTCCCAGAAGTTAGGAAAGTTGTGAGCACTGAATTTTAGCCTATATCCAGGTTCAAGAGAGATCAGACTGCAGGCAGAACAATTTGTAAATGAAAATTACAACAAATGACAGTACTATTATGCAATGCTTTTATTGGTTTATGGACTACAAATACTGTATATACCATTTTACTTAAATGTCTTACTTTTTAAGGGACATTATGACAAATATAACAGGCTGTTCAGTACATTTTGAACAATCCATGAAAAATGTAGGCTACATAAAATTGACTGAAAGAAAAAAGTGATTGCTAATAAAAAAAGAAAGTTTTTTGTTCTGTAATTGAACATCAGGTAGTGATGTTATTCCTAACACAATGCAGTATAATGTGTTTTCAGAATAAGTCTTTAGTCCTGTCAGAGTGGTACCTGGAGCTTCAGATCATGTCACATAGTGCCACAGTGTGATACCAGCCTATTTCAACATTACTACTGTCACAAAATGTGGAATTATTAATTAATGTAATATTGAATGCTTAATTTTTTTTTTAATGCATATTCTATGCACCCTGATAAAAAAAATTCTATTTTTATATTCCGATAGGTCATTTATTTTAGTTTTTTGCCATAAACACACTTAAGTTAAATTTTGTTTCAGGGCTGTGTTGTGGGGTTTTTATTTCCTTTGTGGGTTTATTCATTTTATTATATTTAGATTTTTTTTAAGTTTGGGGTGCCTAAAGTGGAACATTTACTGTCCATCTGTTCTTTAAGCTGTCTTTTTTGGTAGCATATGGTTTCATCATTTGAAAAGAAAAACCTGTGCAAATGTATAAGAACAGTGTGCACCTAAACCACTTCACAGTATACCACTGACATTTAACACAATCCCTATCCCCATATATAAAGTTAAAGTTAGGCATGCACAAGTTAGTCCCGTTATCCAGGATTAAAACTCTCTTGCTGCTGGCCAATTTCACACTGCTGTGTCATCTGTCACTTACCAATTTCTATCTGTTGTCAAAGTGGATTAATTACTGTTTGTTGAAAAAAACATCTGTTGCTGCTAAACCTACTTAAAAAAAAGTCCTTTTTTAACTGAAATGAATCAGATTGGATTTCTGAACTATGCACTGCCATTGTTTGCTGTTGCTGAGACTGTCCAAAAAAAACTGTCAAGGGATTGCCCTCTGGGTTCAGGTTTACAGAATTTTGATATTTTTCTGAACCTTTGTTGAATTGAACCTGGAAGGATTTGTCCACCACTTTGGAATGGTCCAAGAATCTCATCATATGGGTCACAACACAATCAGTACCCTTATCTAACCTTGCACTTACAATAAATGGTCTGTGAAGGTTCCATTTTATGGGAATAAGAACAATGCAATTACTTTTTATAACATACATAAAGTTCTGATATATAAAAGTGCCCATGCATGGTATCATGGAGCAAACTTTTTGGCCCAATCAAGAAAATAAAGACAACATACAGTATGTTCTCAAGCATCTTAACCTTCCTCTTGTGTTAGTTACCTGTTACCATCTCTTAAGTTAACGGGTCGGTTTTGACCCGTGTCTTAAATCAGCTGTAAAATATACTAAAAACAGTTATCTATCATCCAATTTTTTTCTCATATCTTCGTTACCTTGTTAGGCTTCCTTATCCATGAAAATATTGTTTTTAATAATTTTGGTGTGGGCCCCTGGACCTTTTTTTTGTCAGTATACCCCCCTCGATTTCAATTAAAAAAACATGTAAAATGAACCTCAAGAGAATCATATAAATAAATAAAAGGTTGTTATGTCACCTGACTATTACTGAGGGGATTTAGAACACATCTCTGAAATAAATTTGTTTTGTTTATTTTTTCATTTTAATATTATTAATAGAGATGAGCGAATCGAACATGGCGAAGTGGAATTCGTTTCGAAGATCAGGAAAAATTTGATTCGCGCCGAATCCGAAAATTAGCAAACTTCGGATGCACGAATCGAATTTTCCCAAAAATGGCGGCGACATGTGTGGCGACGGAGCGGGGATCTCTGGGAAGGCGCGCAGACAAGGCGTGCTGACCCATAATGCATTCATTCATGACATGTGATCGCATTAGCCAATCAGCAGCCAGCCAGCCAGCACTGTGTAATGGTGGAGCTATAAATTGCGGCCATCTTACAATTCTCCATTAGCCTCCGGTCATTCAAGAGAGACAGACCTGTCTGTATTAGGGACAGAGTTAGGGCCAGAGAGACTTTAGGGCCACAGAATCATTACTTAGGGACACAGAATCGTTACTTAGGGACACAGAATCGTTACTCAGGGACACAGAATCGTTACTCAGGGACAGACACAGAATTGTTACTCAGGGACACAGAATTTTTACTCAGGGACACAGAATTGTTACTGAGGGACACAGAATCGTTACTCAGGGACACAGAATCGTTACTCAGGGACACAGAATTGTTACTCAGGGACACAGAATTGTTACTCAGGGACAGACACAGAATTGTTACTCAGGGACACAGAATTGTTACTCAGGGACACAGAATTGTTACTGAGGGACACAGAATTGTTACTCAGGGACACAGAATTGTTACTCAGGGACACAGAATTGTTACTCAGGGACACAGAATTGTAACAGCAGGCAGCTCAGGTTTATTTTTATTCACTGTGCCCACCATGGTAAGTTTCCTCCTGAGAAGTTCTTATCCAAGGTCATAGCTGGTAAAAAAAAATTGTCACAAGTGATATTGTGACCCTGCAGTCCAGTAGTCATATCAAGGACCACACGTTTTCCTTGGTTTTTCTCTGGGATGCCACTTGCACCTTTGCCTGTATAAATCTGTAGATTCCAGGCATAGCTGGTTTTTGTATCACAGGCTGCCCAGATTTTTATGCCGTACGTCCCTGGCTTACTGGGTATGTATTGCCAGAAGGGGCATTTTCCTTGGAAAGGGACAAGACGTTCATCCACTGTCACCTCTGGCCCAGGGTTGAACGTCAGTGGAAGGAGCTGCACCCATCTCTCCCAGACATCC